TTGAGTAATTTCTCTTCTCAGGTTCTCGTTGCTCCTTGAGATCTTCTTTTAGCTCCTATATCGCCAACATTTCAGCGGGGTCCATGCTCGCTTGTGTCTCTTTGGCTTTATTAACTTCGTTTGTCCTAATGGGTCCCGCCCCCCCTGTCAGATATTATGGTGTTGTCTTGTTTGGAGGGATTTGTATTTAAAATTTGGGAGAGCGGTTTAATGTGCGTCTGTGAGTTAACAGAAAGCTCCTGATGCAAAACTCCGATGTGACTTGAGGTTTGTTGAACGCGTGTGTGTCTGCAGGTTTGTTACTGTGACGACCACGCCAAGAGTAAGGTCTTCAAACAGGAGAAGGGCAAAGCTCGGCCTTGTCCAAAGTGTGGACACGAGACACAGGAGACCAAAGACCTCAGCATGTCCAGTGAGTCCAACTAGTCTTTTCATAACGTTTTTATTTTGTTCCTACAAACGTCTCATTTTTTATCAAGTCAACCAGTGTTTTTAGTTTTTATTTATTCATTTATTGAAAATAAAATAAGACAAATTCATCAAAAAGAAAAAACATTGAATGAAAAGTTGCAGAAAGAAGAAAAATTATAATAATAATATCTGCCCCTTATTTAAAACAAACAAACTCAGACTTGAACAATCTCCAAAAACTTCAGACTTCCTTCACACGGTCACACTTTCCTGACAATTTTAACTTAATCATCTTTTTTTAAACACACAAATTGTTTTATTAATTTTTCTGGTGATTCAATAATCGTGTTCCCTGAACGACAGCAGCTCCTTCAGACCAGTTCTAACTGGAGCTTTTACAAACATTTCCATTCCCTTAAGGTTATTGTAACTCTTTTTTTTAACAAATTTTAATTGAATATTTGGGGTAACGTTTGTATGAGCTTTATACATGACTTGTAAAATATTATATTCAACCAAATCATAAAATTTTAATAATTTTAACTGATGAAATAATATATTTGTTGGGTGACCAAAGCACTTCCTACTAATAATTCTTATCGCTCTTTGTCAAATAAAAATAGGGTTTGTAATTGTTTTACATGCTTTTCCCTAAACTTCAAATATAATAGATTAAATATGGAACAATCATTACATTATACAATATATACAAAGCTTTGTCGTTCAAAAACTTTTACTTTATACACTTTATACAATTGATTGAGCTTTTTTTATTCTTAAGTAATTTACGTGAGATTTCCACGTCGGCTTCTCATCAGTAACACCCACATTTTATTTCATTAACTCTGAATTTCAGTATCGTCGATTTTAAATGGGACTTTGATCTTTTTATTTCTATTACTAAACATCGTGCAGTTTGTTGTTTCCAAATGTAATCACAACTTCTACGTCCGTCCAGCTAAAAACATCTTCGAGTAAACGAGCTCTAAAGAACCGCTGAACACTTGTGATGTTGAACTTGTGCACAGAACAGCTGGAACAATCTACATTTATAATAAATACAATAAAGAAGTGAAAATAAAATGACAGGGATCAACGTTCTTTAGCAAACGTGAGCTGAAGCTCCACCCAGAAACAAAATACAACAACGGTACTCAAAGAACTAGTACTAGTATCAGTACTCAAAGAATAATAGAAAGAGAAGGCGTCATCTGAAATGCTCAGATGTGACGTTTCTTACCGAGCGCGTCTTTGCCGCCTCCCTCCCGAACACCTAGCTAACGCTGCACCTGTGTGTCCTCTGCAGCTCGCACCCTGAAGTTCGGCCGCCAGGCGGGTGGAGACGTCTACGACGACGACGACGACTATGGAGCGTCTGGGTACGACGCCTACTGGAAGAATATGGCCGCCGAGGGGGGAGGAGCCCAACAAGACAACTATGGGGATGATGACTATGAGGAAGATGACGATGATGCTGATGACGATGATGCTGATGACGATGATGAAGAGGAGGAGGAGGAAGAAGAAGAAACGCCCTCCAAGTCCCTGGCTGAGCTGAGTTTGGCCTGAAGTGTCTAAAGGAAGGTGAAACCTGCTGCTGTAGGTGGAGTCCACGGTTCTGCTGATCCCAGCGCTCGACACAAGACTCGCAGAACGTGCACCGCACGTTCAGACTGTTGAACCAGCGACATCAGACGATTATTACACTTTAAATTAACCGGAGCAGGAGTTAAATTAACCGGAGCAGGAGTTAAATTAACCGGAGCAGGAGTTAGGTCCGAGTTCTTAGTGATCGAATAAACAAAGGAAACAAGTTGTGAACCCAACTCTTCTTGTTTCTCGTCTTTTTTTTAAATAATGGACGGATTTGTTTTAGTAATGTCCAATCAATAAATTCAGGGTTCATTTCCTCTGACTGCCCCCCCAATATAAATTATAATATTTAAGACATTTGGACCAGTTTATATTTTACCCATTTTGTCACATAACTGGTTTATTTTCTTTTGAACTTGGCACAGACTGAAACAGGAAGTGACATCATAGAGGAGCTTTTAGTGAAAGTGGACCTGGTCTTTGTTTAGTGAAACATTCGAACCCGACTTGTTTCTTTGTGACGGTGACTTGACTTAAAGGAACAGAGTCTTCTCTGTAACGAAGGTCCGGTCCTCTGGACGGTTCTTTGTTGAAACGTTTCGTCTTTCATCTAAAAAACTTCTTCAGTCCGAGGAGCCGCAACAAACTCAGTCTTATAAAAAGCATCTTCTCATAGTGCAGCAACCAGTTTGATGGTTTCTGGAGTCCAACCTCTCCCCGGACGACTCGTTCTATTATTATTAACTTTATTTAACGAGGCGAATCACTGAGGTCACAAATCTCTTTTAATGGAGACCAGGGCCTGACGGCAGACCAACATGCATGTTTTTGTTCTGTGGGAGGAAACCGGAGCACCCAGAGAAAACCCACGCAGCACGAGAAGAACATGCGAACTCCACACAGAAAGACCCCAGGTCCAACCGTGGATTGAACCCAGGACCTTCATGCTGTGAGACAGACCTAGACTGCTGGAGGACAAACTGACCACATGTCCTCGCTCTCCTGCTGTCTTTACTCCCTCTACCTGTTTGTAATTATTAATATCTTAACATGGTTTTTTGTCTTTCCTCCTATAGAAACCACACCTGGACTATAGAAACCACACCTGGACTATAGAAACCACACCTGGACTATAGAAA